CAGGTTGAAGGAAAGAGAGGACTAGGAAGAAGATTGATACAGCTAACCGACGACCTTAAACAAGGAAAGAAGATGACGTTCCAGGAATTAAAGCGAGAAACCGAGAATAGGGACAACTGGAGAGCTCTTTTTGGGCAGAGCAATGGACCTGTCGTAAGACAGAACACTTAATAAATAAATAATGGAATTTGCTAGATACTCGTAGATAGTGCTACTAGGGTCTACATACCTTGCTACCTTCTAATTTTCTCTTATGAATAATATATATATATATATATATATAGCGCAAACTTCTGAGCTGGATGATATGACTGTTCATTTATATTGACTGCTAGTCTGACCACACAGATTAATGATCAGAGAAAGCAATCTCACAAATTCTTCCCAGAACTTCTTGTAGGCCTGATAAAATTGAATTTTGTTTAAACTGGTGAAAGTGTGTACAAGGAGACAGACGCACAGAGGTCTCCACTGTACATTGTGTTTTATTTTCCAAGTACGCCTTGTGCCATACCTTGCATCTTAAGTTTAAATCACAGTGATGTATGAAAATGGCATTGAACGCGGAATCAATATGTTAAATTAATATCAGAACATGCCGGCCATGATAAATAAGCTGGATTAATCTTTTGATACCATTTGAAAGTCTGGATACAAGTGCCAGCTGTCGGAATACATTCACTCTTAATTCCAGAGCGGTTTCACCACCAAAGCCGGGTTTTCCCGTTCAGACAGAAGACCCAATCCGATAAAAACACAAAAACGCACTCTAACTGTTGTATGGGTTTCAGACACCTCGCGCGTGTTAGCAGAGTCAAACAAGGATACGAGATTGTGGGATGATTCTACGTGTAGTGTTAACACTAAAGATTAGTTTCTACAAAGGAGTCAGTACGTGTCTGTACATAAACATCAAAAACGACTGTATATGACAATCAAAAAGGGGTAGTATGTAAAGAAAGGTACAAATTATGTGTGTGTGTGTGTGTGTATATACTCAAACCTGTCTAAAATGAAAGGTGGAATCAAAAGAAAACTTTTGTATAGAAAAGAAAAATGGCTATGTTCCGGGAAACCTAAATAAAAACTGTTTAGTGGTGAAAAGTAGTGGCAAAGCTTTCTCCGGTGTGTAGGATTTGAGGTTTTCGCGGCGGCGAGTATGAAGATGGCTGTCTTCCGGGTCGTTGCGCCCTGATGATGGAGGCAGCAAGGACGTCTTAAACGTCGGTAAACTTCAACCAGACTACACGGCGCAACAACCCAGAAAACAGAAAGCTTCCTGTCTCCGGTGTTTTCATAAACAGACGTTATGCGGGAGTGGAGGTATTGTTCCACGCATTCTTATCCTCGAACGACAAGTTGTCTGCTTAAATACATTGTTTGCTATGAATATATTTATGTTTTGCATTACGCTGCGCGCAATTTATCGGAAATTAAACATTCCTGTAACAGGTAGGAAGGAATTAATATACACTAAGAGTGAGCAAACCAGCCCAAATAAAAATTAAGTTAGTTGGCGACATTGTTCGGATATTCTAATAACACGGCTTGTTATTAATTTACATTTCCTCGTACATAGAAAAACGGACAGGCTTGTAATGTAGAAATAACAAATTAATTTGTTTACGGAAATGTCGTGTTAATTCACTGTTCCTCATGGCAATACTGCATACAGACCTACTAAATCCTCTGAGGCAGATAAGGCTTCATACGTTTTTCTGGTTAACATCATGTTTGGTGTCGTCCGAGGATATTACAGGCCTATAGTCTGTTTAGGACTAAGTCGTGCTTCTTAAACATTCATTTCCTCTTTACACTGCAGTGTGTTTCGTCCGTCAAAAGCGACCAGACGTTTATATCTGATGAGGCTTGAAACGAGCAGATGGCCCTCCGGACAGACTGTTCGGGACCGGTCCAATCACCTGATAACAAATACAGTTCTCCCTCAAACGAAACGACTATTTACACTTGTTCTCCACACTCACACATTCTCTGTTTATATGTCGACACTTTATCAACTGCGTATGTTAAAACAGAGTCGATTGGGAACATGATTGCCAATGCTAAATTGTAAAGAATCGTGAGAATAGATCCTGGATAATTTCCTTGAGGAGCTGAGAAAAGCTGCAAGGGATCTCAATGAAGATAGGACTGCATTCCGACCGTGAATCGATCCCGAAACTTCCTGAATACGAAGCCGGAGGGACGATCTCTACATCGCGACGGTACACAACTTTAAAGGTGACTGTCTTCTGGGATGTTTCGCCATGTACTGTTGTTAAAATTTAGCAGCGTTTCAGAGGTGCTTACTGACTCCTCCGTCATGAATATTATCCCATGAGGCCAAATCCCTTAACAGCAGTAACATCGCAACGGTTACAGTAATAAATCCCTTGAGTCACAACATCCCTGAACATCTTTACCAAGGCAAAGTTATAACACCACATACAGTTCAAATGGTGATTTTAAAAGAATGATCATCATCCCGCCAATAGTTGTCTGTTATACAGATTATGGTATTATGGCATTACATTAATCATTCAAGACAGAATTATCTAAATTAAATATAAAAAAACAAAGTACTGCAGCCTATTTAAAATCAAACGCGTTGCAGATCGTAACACTGACTGGGATTCTAACGAGGTGCCCCACGGAACTATAAAAAAAATTACAGCTTCTGTTTGTACTCCAACAATTTTCATCTATAAAGTGAACTGGCTTTTTAAACACCGGGTCGAATTAGATGCCGATCCTTGTCACTGCATATGAGAAACTAGGTAATGAAAACAGGGGACCAGACAGTAAGTACAGACATGCTAGAAAAACGGACTAACACTAAGTAATATTTAAATATCCATTATAATAAAAATTTAAATTTAACGCTTATAATATTTTTATGATGTGTGAACAAACACAAAAAGACATTTCCCTGTCGCGTCGTTAAGTTTTTGCCGTCTTTTTGAGACCCGTCATTGTTTGATGGTTATGAAACAGGCACTGTACAGTGTCGGGGGGAGCCCGGAGGTGCGGGGGGAGGGGGGGTGCTGCTCTGATGCACGCAAGCTGTTGCCTGCAAGGGCTTTGAGTTATAAACGTGAAAATAAGAGAGTAGCTGGACGTACTTTATAATCCGATGATAAATCATCAGTAAATACCGACGGGATGGCGAGAGAGG